GAATCAAAGACAAATTGCGTATTTCTGTGCTTATTTCTTTGAGATGCTTTGATCATGGCTCTAACAGGAACAATATATCAAAACTTCAAGTATGATGTGTATTTTGAAAAATTACTTCTACTGATGACAAGGAGCAATGAATATTGAGGATCTCTGTTCCTCAACCACATTTCCAGAATCATCAGAATTGAATCAAGATTCAATTGTAATATTTCTTTTTTAAAATGCCTACCACTCTTATTCTCCAAATCGGAAAATGTTACTTTCTATTTACCCTTTACATTCCTACCTTGCCATTTTCATTTGTAGTGAACAGAAGCTTGCACCGTGCTACCCAGGATGTAGCATCACTAGAGCAGTATGGCCAGATTCCTACTTGATGTAAATCAGGATAGCTCAGTCAAAAATAACAAATCTACTGGTGTTCRTATCATATAGAGCTCTGTCCCCAAGTTTGTGAGCTGTTTTACAAGCCTTATTTTGGAAAATATAAAAATATTTCCTTTCATAGAGACTATGTTGCTGCAGTGAAGCAGCTCATGACTCGATCACCAGGCTACACTGCAGCAGGTTTTGTGCCATGGTGCAGTGTGCACTGGCACAGAAAGGTGTAAAAACCACCATGGATCAATAGAGATTGTCCAGAAACTGTGAGATGACTTAAATTCAATAGACTCTGCAGCAGTTAATTTTGAACTCAAGTGTTTTCCTCTTTAAATAATTAATCTGGTCTGGTAGCACACTAAATTGCTTGGGCTCTGTTTTCCCTACATTTCTCAGTATATCAGTGTTGCATCAGGACTAGTTTCCTTCCTTTCCCTCACATGGCTGAAGTGAATAAATGAGTCTCATTCCAGAGATTCCAGCAGCATCTCAGGGAAAATCAATGATTTTGCCCTGCACAGAGGACTTTTACTTTATGTGCCCTACCTGTGCTGCAGGATAGCAATTGTTAGGTGTCCTCTGTAGTGCTGAGAGCCAGTTCAGTGAACCAGATAATAGCAAGTCAACGTCTTTCAAATTCTTACTCTTCTTTTAGCTTGTGTCTACTCATACTGAATCTGTAGTGCAGCTACTATGCTTAACAAGCTCCATGGAGAGTTTTTGAACCTGTGCTCCTATAAAAAAATAACAGCTTAATAACAACRACAAAAAAGTCTCAGGAGAAATGTGCTTTTATTTTAGTTTTCACTTAATGCAGTACACTTCTGTGAAGCTCTAGCAGGAAAGACAGCTCTTTTTCCAGAGTTCAGAGCAGAATCTTTCTGTAGATAGGCCTGTTATAGACATGGATCATAGAATCACAGAATCRTAGATTCTATGGATCTATGTCTATATTATAGATGGATCATGGATGGATGTTTTTTATACATGGATCATAGAATCCTTAAGGCTGGAAGGGACCTTTAGAGATCATCTAGTCCAACCCTCTGCACTCACAGGGTCACCTAGAGCACGTGGCACAGGATTRCATCCAAATGGGGTTTGATCCTTAATCTCCTGTTGTATAGGCCCAGTTGCCCTCCCTTAAATATTTGCAGCCTCAGTTGATTGTTGTAGCTATTAACATAAGCCTTTGCTCATGAAAGTTATATTTTGACGTGCCCATATGCATAAAAATGCTGTATTTGCTTGCAAAATAGCTCCTTATTGCTTTCAGCTACCATGCCAGTGATTAAGAAATTAAGAATGCATGCACTTCCCTGGATTTTTGTGAACAAGAACAGCAAATGTAGCAGAAAACAGGTGTAAGGAATTAAACCTCAACCATGTTTTTTTGGAAATGAACTCAGGTCAGGTTTCATCACATGGAAAGATCTCCTTTGAAATCTTGTGAACTGGAGAGAGAAGAGCGGGAATCAAATGGAATTTTGGTTAGTGATGTATATTTTGACTTCTCTGTCTACCACCATATCTTTGATCCCAAACACTTACTTGTCCTTCCAAAAAAAAGAGACGAGATTTTCAACTACTTATATTCTACTGATTCACTGACTGGTGTTAAATAATTATGGTTTGGAGCTGAGGATATCCTATAGGAAACTCCTCAGGGACTCAGTTGTCACCATCATCATGTGATTAGGGTGTTTAATGGAAAAAGAAAAGAAAGTGACTTTTGAAAACCTGCAGAAATGTGATGTATTTTTGATATGAATCCCCACATAATTCTTCCCCTCACCTCACATAATTAGTGGTCCATGTTTTACACTGCGTGATACTCTCCAYAGTCAGCTCTGCATGAAAGGGTTTCAGAATCATTTGCTCTAAGACTTTCCCTTTGCCTGGTTATTATTTTGGCAGAGAAATAAGGTTTCAAAAGTCAAGCAGGAATTAGTAAGGATTAGGGCTAAGCCCTAGCAGAAATGGCCTGAGCCTGGTTCATAATGCTCTGATGTGAAGGTGAGAGCTGCTGTTATCACTAAGCAACAGTATCAAACWGCTGTTTTTCTATATTTTGTGGATCAATAAAATGTCAGGCTTCCATCCTAATAAAATGTCAAGCTTCTAGCCTTCCCTGACCTTCCCATGCATTCCCTGCCCTTCTTCAGGAAGGAKAGCACTGCAGGAGCAGCTGTGGCTGTGATGAAAAGGAAAAACAAATGAGATAAATCATTTTAGTGGATCTGMTCTGAAAATATTYTTGTGCAACATATGAGTGSAGACTGATTTTTGAGATCTTATTTATAATACTTTTATGGAAAAAAGAAGAATTTCAGCCTTTCCCCAAATCTCCTGTATTATGGTAGCCCCAGACTACATGTGGTTATGTCAGCATGATTCAATATCCCTTACTGTGCAAAAAACATCAATATGCTATGGGTGTGAAGCAAAACTAGCCCTAGAATTAAGTCTATGCCCCTGAATTCTGCCAGGCAATGCTCTTCTGTTCAAAAACTCGCAGTCTGTGCATTTTTGCCCTGATATCAACATTTCTGAGAGTCATTAGGGCAGATGGAGGAAGCCGCATAGACTTTCAAAACACGTGCCTGCTGTCTAAATGGGAAAACCCACAGCAGCCTGAACGGGAGGGAAATGACCCTGTTGCTCTTCAMTCTAACAAAATGGAATAAATGATCTGAAGGATCCAGGAAACTCGCTAAAGATTARGCTTTTCAAGCAAAATCTAATGACACTTGCAATGTTGCTTTGTCCCTTCTCCATTGGAGGGCAAGAGGCTCATGAGAATTATGCAGAGTTTGTGGATTTTAAGTCCTTTCCAGCAATGAATTGCCTGCTATCTCTTTTCCTGAAACAGAGGCAATGGAGATCCTTAATTTGCTTAAGATGGAAATATTCCTGAGCAAGTCAATACAAATGTCCACATGGAGCACTGAAAAGAGTGATTACAACATATTTGCATGCATTTGCAAAGGTACTTAGGAATTTTGAGTTTAGCAATGTGAACATAGCCTCCAACATAGGAGAGAATCACATATGATGGAGGAAAAGGGAGAGTTGAGGCTGGAAAAATCCTTTTGCTAAAGAATGGAACAAGTGCTGCCCAGGTCATTCTTAGAAGTACTTTAGATCTTGCATTACAGAGATAACCTACTTGAGAGCTTTTCACTGAAGCTGTTATCCCTCCAAACATGGGGAAAATGATATTTTTCATGCTTTAAAAAAAAAAAAAAGGTAAGGTTAGGTTGGAAGATCCCTGGAGTCAGTGAACACCTGATGAGGTCTCTGGGGAAATCAATTTTGATGGTTCTCATCCATGAAATAGGGAATACATAGACCTTTTATCCCTTGGGTGGTTTATTTAGGCTTTTTGCAGCCCAAGTTTCCATCTCCTCATATAGCCACAGTTGCAAGGAATTTGCAATTCACACCAGAACTTGCCATTCCCATTTACAAAGAGAGGGTGGAAGGCAGGGAGCTGGAAAAACAGCAAGCAGCTAAGCAGCTCTCCCAAGGCTGCTCAATCTGCAGCACAGAGCAATGCCCCAAACACGGTTAACACTTCCCCCCATCTAGCAAAACAGCTTTCAGACCTTGCTACAGCCCTTGCTCCATCTAATAGTATTTGTGTAACTGCAAGTTGTCTAAAATCCAGAGTACTGCTCCCTTGGGAGCCTTGACTACTTAAGCATCTCAAAATCTGGTCCTTTGTGCATACAAATGGATCCATTATTGCATCCTCATTAATAGTCTCAGATTAGAGCATCATAAAACCCTATATGCACAATTTCCTTTCTCCTAACAGCCAAAGGAAAATTCCTCCCAGGCTTTTTTTCAATAGCCAGCTTTGTGACTGCAGGATTTGGGCACCTTCCCGTTGCTGCTAGCAGAAGGCAGCAATGGGGTGAGGATGCTTTGCCAGAGGAGGTGTCCTTCAAACAGGATAATAAACTGCTCTGCCATCTGCTTTATGGGGATTATTCTGGTGGATGTTAGAGATCCCTTAATTATTATTATTATTTTTTGCCATGTCCCTGCACTCCTTAACACTGCTTCYTTTGTACTAGCATTCATATCACCTCTCTCCTCAGCTTTTGACTTGGAAAGTTTTCCCCTTTTTCACATGAAAAGAYAAAAAGAATATGTGGCTTCCAGCTTCTAACAGTGTCTCTCTCTCCACTACGTACAGATCTTCACCCACAGCTGCATTCAGCCCCAGCTTCCACAAAATAATCCTCTTTCCTAGAAACTCCTTCGTTGCAGCAAGACTCAACACGTAGAAAATCACCTCTCCATAACCGACCTGCTCGCTGATTTGCACTAGGGGCTGCTTTGGCAGCACTCAGCTCTCCTGCAACCTCCAGCTTCCTTCTGCACTATCATTTGCTGTCAGGCTGCTTGCATAAAAAATGCTCTTTCTCTCTCCTTCAGGCTCTACTACCCTTTAACAAAGAGTTCATCACCCAAGCTTTCCTAGCACTTCCCTTATATGCATTTTCACAGGTGCAGGTGGTTAGCAACCCTTCTTAAAAGTGCCTTCTGCTCCCAATCCTTCCTTTAATGTAGGTGGGGATTTTGATGTGAGTGTATGCAGGGTTGTGGGCTGCTATCCTGCATTATAGAGCTTTAATTCCTGGGTGAGCGTGCAATATCTGAATTCACTGAAGAGCTAATGGGTGCAAGCAAGTTGTATGGTGAGTAGCRTGGATTAAAGCCTTGATGCAAGCTAAATTATAGTATGAGAAATAGGGGCCTAAGTGAAGGCTGTGTGCTTACTAGTCTTAGGCTAATTGCTGAGATGTGTTGTTTGGTGGGGAAATAAAATGAGAGTAAATACTGAAGCAGAATTTAGAGGAAAAATATTACAAGCTGGAAATGGAGTTGTATTTCTCTTTGCTTTGGATTTGTCTCCTATGCTTTGTTTATGGAAGATAGACCTTAACACCCCCTTGAAAGTACTGCTTTAGAGAGGCTCTCTTGTTTCTCTTTCCCTCCCTCTGTTCTTTTTGCCTTGGGAAATCTTGCATTTGTTGTGTGTTTAAGCTTTGCTTGCAAGTCTTGAAGCAGCAACTGTAAGTTTTAAAGGACCCAGAGCTGTAATAGGCTCAGTATAATGTGTATATTTTTCTCTGGCTCTAATGCGTCACTGTGAAGTATGATTAGGGAGATGTAGGCCTTGAATCCTATCATCAGATCATTCTGTTGTTTCCTCTGATGTCTGGGGTGCAAGCAATGCCTTACAGTAGAAATAATCTTGGTAAATCAATGTAAGAGCACAGATGCTTAAAGAGACCTTCTCTAAGTGTGTCATATTCTGTGGTCCTGCTAGTGTAGGAAGCAGATAACCCAACCTCTAGACCCAGCATCTTGGAGAAGGAAGGGTTTTCTAGTGGTTGGTCTTCTAGAACATAATTTTTACCCAAAGGACTTAGACTTTTCAAAAGGTGGCTTAGGAATTTTGAGACCTGTTGATTAATCGTTATTATTATCATATCCAAAGACCGATTTTCAATTTACTTTCGCAGCAACCGGAGCAGGACAAGAACAATGAGATCACTACATTTTGTGGTCCATTATTTGAGGTCACTTTGAAACATRAATGCCCTGCCCATAAATGATGCTTGAAGACTTCCAAAACAAGGGCTAATATTCCTTAGTACACGTTGTTCCTTTTCAAGCCTTTTCCCCTGCTTTTCAAAAGGATATRTCTATATGGGACTACATTTTTATTGCCTTGGAGAACACAATGTTTCCTCATGGCACAAATATACCCCAAAATAGGAACTTGTAACTCAAAAATCCTTGAATATTTTCATGTTTTAGGTAGAGGTGTTCTTTTAATGGTTATTAACAGTAACATTCCAGCATTGAAACCGTATCTGTAAAAACCATTTAAATTCTGATGGCTGACAAATGTGTTAACTCCCTTGTATATTAGTACTTTGTCCTTCATACAAATATTCCTCTTTATTATTATATGCAATAGTCTCTTCATCTCACCATTTTTTAAAATGTATTGATTTCTTTTTTCAATCCTTAAAAARAATCCTTGCTGCCTCTTTAACTTCATGCAAAATGCATTGTGTGATTCAGCGAAAGGCAGGGGAACAGGAAACCCATTGAATGCAGTAATAAATGGCAGAGTGGTCAGCGTGAGGGAAGATGCTCTGTTCGGACCTGCAGTCACGATGTCATGATCATGTTCTGCAAATTTATRCAGAGCCAAACAGAAATGCAGAAGAGCAGATTTTGTGATGCTTCTTGGAGAAGCTCCCCTGAACAGTTTGGACCAGGTAGGGCTATGACTGTAGGAGGTAGAGGCAACTCCACACACAAGAGATCAGGCCCTTTATTTTCTCCAGAGCTTTTGGGCTGCCACAGAGTCTGCAACACTTGCAGAAGGGGCAATGCCGCTTGCAGCATTTTGTGAGAGTGCTTCTACTGAATTATTCATCTGGAGCAATTCTAGCTGTGTGAYTTCTGTATACCATGGAGTTAACATCCTGAACACACCTAGCACTTATTTACCTAGCACTTATTTACAGCACTAATTTCAATGCCAGCGTATCTGTGTATGCTTCTGTAGGTCACCTGGCTGTATAGATAAGAATGCCTACATGTAAACATACATGTGCCTACCTAGCTTGTTTCACAGCTTATTTACACTTTATTACACTTAATTTAGGCAGCTAGCTCAAATTTCAAGTGAGGTCTATATTTTTGTGTATGTCTGCTCTGTATTGGCTTTTCTGGCATGCCTCCACTCAGTTTTCCACACAAGTCTTTCAAAACCCTTGTCAACAGCCATGTGCAGGAACGACTGCAGTAATGCACTGRCGAGCCAGCTGGCTGCAAATCACTTGAAAGATAATGGAAGTCAGGTGTCCAAAATGGGAATGTGTTTGGATGTGACTTGGCTTCCCAAGGTTTTCCCTGCAGAGAGCGGTGGTTCCATATTAACTTAATTTTTTACTCTCTGTGAAAAGCATCCYGCACTGATGGAAGAACAACGCTTAGTGTGACACTGGGTGACTTTATTTTGGCAGACTCAGAATGTCAGCTCTGCATCTGTTGCACAGACAGGGAGACACTCGTGGAGGGGGGAAAACTCTCCATTAAATAAAACAAAACTGGGGATCTGGATGAAAAACAACTCCAAGCCCATATTGTGTCATTATGATTCTAGCCAGTCATCAATAACAAGGATTAATGTATTTAGAATAGATAGACAAATATCTGTAGTACCTGAAAGCTCTGTTCAAGCAGCCTTACTTGGTATTGTTCTTTTCCCTGTCAAAACCAACATCGCATCTGGGAGATGGGATTTTTAGGGATGACAGTCTAGGACTAGACATTATTTTAGATGCTACTTTTGGTTTCTGCTTTCATTACTTAGTAATCTTTAATGCCCTTCAGTGTCCTGAGGTGTTTAGTTCTTCCTGTCGCAAAAATGTTCCCCAAATACTCTATGGCCAATTTTTGAGAAAGAAAAGTATGTTTTCAGAATGCTAGGCATTAAACTCAACCACTTATTGCTATTGTTTCATCTTTCTCAGGACATGACCTTCACCACCAGGATGAATTAGGAAAAACCTAAATCCTCCTAGCTCCCTGGCTGTGCTACCTGCTGTTCCCTCCCTGATTACCAGTCAGTAGCCTCACCTCTTCCCACCCGAAGGAAGGAAGCCATCCAGCAAGTCACAAATGACAGCTGAAAAGTGAAGTATCAAAAGCTGTGTGAGACACTCCCAAAGAGAAAAAATTTATAATACTTACTCTCTGAGTCTGGCAAACTGTGTATGACACCAATTCCAAAGAGCAGAGAGAAGATATGTTCAAGTAACCGATACCAGAAATTGCACAAATACATACGCATACCTTAGAGAATTTACACGCTCATCTACAGCATTTAGAAATCTACATTCAGAATGGATGATGGATACAGAAATACAAACCTCTATCAAGGGGGCAGGGAGACAAACCAAGTCTCGGATGACTATAGGTACCAGGATGGTAACTATGAAGGTTATGTACCCAATGATGGCTACTACCGTGGTGGGGAYGAACCTGCTCATGAAGAAGATGCCCAGAGTGATGTTACAGAGGGCCATGATGAAGATGATGAGGTCTATGAGGGGGAGTACCAGGGAATCCCACACCCAGATGACATTAAAGCCAAGCAGAAGAAGAGAGCCCCTGCAGTGGATGATGAGTACAGAGACCGTGCCGACCTCATGGCCGAGAGGATGGAGGATGAGGAGCAGCTTGCCCACCAGTATGAGAACATCATTGAGGAGTGTGGCCACGGACGCTTCCAGTGGACACTTTTCGTTGTCCTAGGGCTGGCGCTGATGGCAGATGGAGTGGAGGTGTTTGTGGTTGGATTTGTTCTGCCCAGTGCRGAGAAGGATATGTGCTTATCCAGTTCAAACAAGGGGATGCTCGGTAAGTGCTGCTTGCACACAGTTGTTCTTAGAGTAGGCAGTACCTAAAATATCTTCTACTGGCTGTCTGATTTCAGGATCTTTTGGTGACCCATTTTTTGCATGATACATAGCCAAGATTGGGTGGATCTGATTCGAGAGGAGTGTTGGGAAGGCAGCTACTCAAAGCAAAAGATTCACACCACGTCTCAACTCCTGTCAGAAACTGTTAGGGCTCCAGCACTGGCAGCTGCAAGCAGAATCTAAATGAATTGGGCAATTTGTAGTCAGTAAATCCACAAGGCAAATTTTAGGAGYGTCAGAGACCTGTGTAAAGTTAAAGGTGGCATTTCCTACCAGAGCATCTAGTGACTAGAATTTCATTGCTTTTAGAAACTAACTTAATGAGAGGTCCAACAACAGTACTGTTCAGGTATGATAAATATAGCAGCTAAAGGTCTTCTTGCTCTGGATCATTTCGCTGTGACATTGCAGCTGCCAGTACTTCCCTGTTCTCCAAAGTTTTTCACTATCTAGCCTTCTCTTTCTTTAGTCCAAAGACCAAATCAGCAGATGATCTGTGCAGCCAGTTTCTTTGGCGTGCTGAATTCTCAGCCAGAGGTATTTGCTAATTCATACTGTGTCAGCAGTAGCCTATAGAGATTTCTTCTTGGGTCTGTGGAATTAAATCGGTGTTTTGCATGAGTACTAAAGAGCCAGGCTACTCCCAGCATCCACTTTGCATCACTGTTGACTCCTCCATGCGGTCAAAATACAAAGACTTAGTTATTGTGACTGAAACTGGGCGGGACAATTTGGAGGAACATTTTTTTTCCCCTGGCACATTATAAACTAAATTTGGTGTGAAGTCTCACAAATATCTAAGAATCAGAAAGGCATCCAGCATGCCTCATAGTGAGAGCAAGCCATGCAATTGTGCAGTACATCTGGAAAGCAAACAAAGTAGCTCTTGGAAGAACATTTTAGGAGGGTAATAGTGTGTCTGRATGGGTTTGTACAAAGTTCATAGGGAAATCATCAGTAGTTGCTGCATTCTGGCCTAGAAGCCCTGCTTGACTCAAAGTAAATGCACTTTTTGGATTAGGTGTTGGGCCTCAGCTCAGTTTGATTTGTATTACTTGTGGCGTAGACAATAGTTGTCTTTATATAGCTCTCTCATCTTGGTGTATCTAAGACATTACTCTTTTCTTCTATTTCTTCTCTGAGAATGTTGTTTATTTACAGTTTGGCTCACTTTCTATCAAGTTTTGTGCCATAAAAGATTTGATAATATGTTTGCTTTTAACAAAAACTTAAAATTCCCAACTTGATAGAGCTCAGGTCTGATTTTTAAATGTGAATTGTTCACGGTTGGATTCTGGTTCCAAAGAAACTTTGGAATTCACCACATCCCTATGAGGTACCTGGTTGGGTACCTCTTCAATGACAAAGCCTTTTAAAGAAAATCAGGTCATTTATTTTAGTGATTAAATGAAAGAAAGCATTGTTTGAAACTCTGACCCCATGTATTTCTATCTCTGTAGAAATTCTATCTCTGTTTCTAGTATGCACTAGAATTCAAACACTTCAATCTATCTATCTATGAGCTATTCTGGTTTGACCACAGGTTTTGGAAAAAAAAAAAAAAAAAAAAAAAAAGAGCAAGAAATCTCATGAGAACCCGTTCTTTTGCCATTTTCAGCTCAGTATTTGCAAGGTTTAAAGGTCAGTGTGTTCTGCTAAGCTCTGGATAAGTAAAGAGACATTTGGGTCTGTACCCAGCCTGTTCTAGCCTACTGTATGCTAACAGATCTAACCCTGAATTTTTAATTTAGGGATCAGCATTCTTGCTGCCTTTCCTGCCTKCTTTTAACAAGTGCTTTTGAGATGCTGATTTTGCAGAACAATTTGATTTTTCCTTGGTCTAGTTGATTTTGGGGGTCTGTTCTTGGAGCTTGCATACATGCCATCTTGTGGCTTTAATTAGAGTGTGTGTGTGTGTGTATATATATATATATGTATTCTGAAAAATAAAGGTCTATTCCTGTCAGACTGAAAGAGATTTGAAAGGCAGAAAGGAAAGTGGGTGTTTATCATAATGCTTTACTGGTGCTGTAGCAGAGGTAGAGCTCTGATTCAGTTTGAAGATACTTTTTCTGCTGCTGGATATTTCTCTGCTGCAACAAGTTAAGCACGTATTTCCTTTTGGATCTGAGGTCTGAGATCCTTTGTGAGAAGGGATTAAGACTGGCTTAGGAAGCATTAGATTGCGGAGTAGTGCATTGATATGAGTAATGAATACTCAAGGGCACCAAGCAGYGTGCTGCCCAGTGAGGCTGTGGGGAGGCTGGTGTGGGCATGGAGCTGCTGGGGGAAAGTGTGGATTTCTGGGTCTGAACTGGAGAGGAGAGCAGTTTCCTCCTGTTAGAGCAGCAGGGCAGCGTCAGAGAGGAGAGTGTGGGTGGTTTGACAGACAGCAAGTTGCTGCAGACAGGAGGTCTCCAGCACAGCCTGGAGCTCCATGTACTGTGCCCTGCAAGAGGGTTTCTCCCCTCTTCTGAGCACCTTCGGGTGCTCTGCGTGATAAGGACAGGCACATATCAGCTACTGGAGAGGGAGGCTGGGAAAATGCTATTGATGGAAACAAGAACATAATCTTCCTCAAAACCTTTCCTGGATTAGCTTCAGTGCCCATACACCACTGACTAGAAATATATCTCCTAGCACAGCGCAGAGMCTCTACCATATGCTTTTCCCCCAGGCTTTCCATTTCCTTGGTCTCTATGGGCTTGTGCTGTTGCAAATTAATCTTGTTAATATGTAAGGTTTAATGAAACTTATGAGCTCATTTGTCAAAATAATGGGCAGCAATCGGAGCTCTTTGCCTCAACTTCTGTTTCATGTGCAGTGATGATCTTGCAAGAGAGCGTCTGCATGAAGTGAATGGTGAATTGATTAGAGGCTTTTTCCTCAAATTATCGTGGAGCAATGTGGGGTCATTATCCATACACAAGTTAGTCTCTTAATTACTGCCAGGTACCAAGAGATTTTGATGGAGGAGCTCATCTTAATTCTCAGGTGACTGCTCATCTCCTTGCCTTTTTGTGAAGGGGACGTGCTCAGGTTGTCCCGGGTGGGGCTGGGGCTGCCTCTGGGCAGCTGCCAGTGTTTAATCACGTGAGAAGGTCTCAGCTGCAASAAGTGATGCTGGGAAGGAACAAATGGGAGGTAAATCAGGTAAGTGATCAAATTCTCTCAGAATCAAGAACAGACAAATAAGGGCTAGAATAGATGCTCCCTGAAGACCAATTTAGAGAAGCTCACCTTTTGGTAAAAGGCCATTTTGCAGTAAGTGCCCTGTGTATTGCACATTTTTCCTTCCTCTGAAAGCAGGAGTAGAAAAATATCAAGCAAATTATGGCCAAATTATGCAAAAATTACAAATAGATGCCTACAGTGTTGCATGAAATGTGTGAAACGAATGTGACACATCTTTGAAAAYGTTTACATTTTTAATCTGAAAATAAACCTCTCATCTTATGCAAATTACCAGCTATTTTAGCCATAACTATCCCTAGTGGGACAAGACACATTCAGAGGTTTTCTGTGATGTGAAATGCTACTTTAAAGGAAAGCTCAGGAAAGAAGAAAAAAACTGTAAATATTTTAGCACTTTGATTTTATTGATTTTTAATGCTAGTGGCTAAGAATAGTCTTGTTAACATGTGAAAAGTTTATTTTCATGTCTATATTCATTTTCAGGTAATAGACCTTCTTTTTCTGATTTTTTTTTCTAGTGATGACAATAAGGCGTCTATTAAATTTATTAAAACGGAATCTTCATGCTTTTTTGATAGGGATAATCAAATGAAGAGTCATAAACATATTCACTTATGTACTGAGAACATACAAGATTATATGTGTGTATATATATGTTTTTAGATGTAATCAGTTGGCTCTCAGGGACTCAATGCTATATATACAAGCACAGAGCAGTAACTACACAGCCCGTATAAAAGAGAGTGGCATTATCATGTCTTAAACTTTTTAATATCCTGCATATAAAACCTCAAGGCACAGTTAAAACATCAGACTCTCCAGACTACCAGAGATGCACATCTCTTAGCAGCGTTTTGTAGCCCAGTAGCCTGAGACAAGAGAAATTTAAACGCTTGTCTATGACTACAAACCAGCCACATGAATTTGAGAATAAAGTCTCACGGTTTTGGACACACAGGTCCCTTTCTGTTTATGATTTAGTTGTAAGGTTTTAAGGAGAATATCATATTCTTGTCTTTGGAATGTTAGCTTAAATTTTATTAAAAAAAGAAGAAAAAAAAAAGAAGTCCTATTAGTAATTACACAGTTATTATACAGAAACATCCCTGCTTTTCTGTGAAGAGATTGTTTTATTATCAGCCAAGATAAAATTTAGCCTCAGTTTCTCATTGACCCAAATTTACCTGATATTACAGTAAATCCTAATCYGCTCAGCAAAGCTCAGTAGCTTTTCTCCACTTTTTTCCCCCTCCTTTGGATAAATGCTTGGAAGCCCAGAATCAGCTCCCTCCCATTGCCATAGCAAACTGCTCTTGGCAGAAATGCTGCTGTGAGAAGAGAYGTCATCCTGAGCAGTGACAGTGGCATGTGTTGGATGTTAGGAAGAAAAAAGATTCTTTTGTGACATGGGGACACTTTGAGGTGGAAAAAGTGCTGTGCAGGTCCAATTTGGGGATGGTTGAGTCCTTCTTTGTAGATACAGCTCAGGGGCTGATTGTCAGGCAATCAGATGGTCCTATGAATAYTGCACTTAGAGCCAAGTCTGGTGGTGGGGACTGTGAAACAACCTGAGCATGAACACCCACCTGCTCTATGCCGGCAGGGCTTGCAGAAGTCCTTGGCATGTGTTTCCAGTGTGGCATCAAAGACCTGGCAGCTTCACACAGCCACCTTTTGCTCAAATGCGAAGAATTCACTTGAATTTGCCTGGTATCTGCCCCTGACTTCTGGAAATAGAAGGTCTTGTTGCAGTTGCATGACCTGCTTCTCAGTGGTAGGATTATTATTAGTAGGTGAAACATCTCTGCCTGTGTTTAATCAGCAGGGCAAGTGCAAACTCTTTCATTTGATTTCTGTTTGTGAAGTCAGTGAGGTTCATGGGTAATGCACTAACAAACTTACAAGCAAAATGGAAAAAAAAAATCAAAAAGGCGGGGAAAAAGCTACTCATCTCCAACTAACCCTCTGCTGAGGCCATTTCTTGCTCTGGGAAATGCTGACTGTCGTAAAAGAATGAATCTTTCGGGGCTCCTGGGTTTTATTGCTCTCCCTCACATGCGATCTGATCCTGTGCTTTGCCTCATCCATCTTGCCAGCAGTACAGACCTAACTCATAAAATTTTGTTTCTACCTATGAAGGGCATCCTTACATGACAGATGCTGCTTGGGCAAAGTTGCTTGGGTTTGGCTTGCATTATAATAGGACCTGCAGAATAGATAGGGTCATAATCCTTTTGGGTGGTCAGGATGCTTCTCCCTCCATCAAAAGCTTTCTTATGTCCTGTTAGTGTCCTGTGCTTTGAGAAGCAGTTAAGTGTCCACACTTCTGTTGTTACGTGGGCTGGGTAAACCCATTAGCAGAGGTAAGGAGCTCCTGTACCCAATAAATGCACATCCCTGCTGATGCAAAGCACTAGGACTAATTCTTTCCATTGCTTGACTTTTTCCCTTATTCCCAGATTCCTTTTCATGATTTGAAAGGGACTATTTTCAGATTTGCCTAAATTTTTAAGAACTTGAATCCCATTGACTGCCAACAAAATGATTCATGCTTGTGATGGAGATTTGGATCAATCACGAATTTTTCCTTTTCATGTTTGAAGTCCTTAGGAGTCCACTTGTAATTACACTGATATAGTAATAAGATGGTTTAGCACATGCAYAGCCATATAATGTGACTTGCCTCCATTTCTAGAACTTCAGATTTTAATTTCTCGCTTCTTGCCTACCACAAGGTATGCAGCTTCAATGAAGGCTAATGAATTTCTTAATATGAAAATGTTTTATGTTACTACTTTTCTGGTGGGATTAAACCTAGTGGCTGCATATTTTCCTTATAACTTCAGCATTGGATGAGTCATAACCATAAATTTATTAGAATTTCAGCTCTTTAGTTTTCTGTGAATTTTATGTGAGGCTGTTGAAGGCTTTCCCACAGGCATTCACTGTACTGTGCTATTTTCAAACTCTTCCACTGAGTGTAATGACTGAAAGCCCTTGCTGACAGGAGGGGCTGTAGCACTTGTTGCAGCTAAAATGGCCAAGTCAGGTGCACCATGACCAAAAGGAGTTATCTTTCTGAGGAGTTAACACGTTCATCTCTATGGGGCATCCACTGTTCCCCCTCTGCTGTGGACTTTCTGGGGTCATCCTTAGCCAGACCCCAGTTTGCTGACAGCAAAGGTACTCACTTATAATAAATTATGGGCTAAAATACAGTAGCAACCTTTTTTACCTCCCTCTCCTAACCCAGAATGTTTTCTGATATTAAGAGGTTTGGATGAACACCTGTCATCCAGGGGTTTTCTCTGGGACTAGGGGGAGAAAGAAAGAAAGAAAAGAAAAATCTCCTACCTAATGATTCATTTTTCATTCGGGTTTGGCAGTGTGGGCTGAACAGTGCTGTGAACCACTCATTTGTCCTGGCAAGGATCACCTGCAGAATAGGTGCCTGTGAAATACCAGTGATAGATACAGGCTGCATCATCCCTTCTGGCTGGGATCATATCTCTGTTAGAGGTGGCTCAAGAGCCAAGCTAAAAGCTCACAACATTGTTTTAAAATTTCCTTTAAGTTTTGGGGTTAGTATGATTTTTAATAAGTTCTCAAATGTTCTCCTCAAGTACGCATTTACATTTCATGCTATYGTGTTTTAAATGCTTATATATCTGCTCCTGTAGTCTTCTCATACCCATAAGTCCTGAAGGCTTCAACAGGAATTTTGCTAGCAAAAAGACCAAAGCTTGTGGGTCTTTGTGGGAATTCTTTTTGTTCACTGAAGTCTTTCAGTCTTGAAAGTTAATTAAATAAATGAAAAACAAAATCCCTGGTGGTAGGAAAGTAATTAATTAGTTCTACTCACACCACTRCCCCCAGAAGAGAAAAGGCAATATAATAGGTGGCCCTCCTGGTGGTAGTCTTGTTAGAACAGCCAAGGACACCGTGCTTTGCATCCAGGGTTGCAAGCACATATGGAGCTGGATACAGAAAGCATACCTGGAGAAGAGAACCATTCTCTCATATTCAGTCTGTCACTAAATATATTAATGTGATCAATGAAACTGTCTTTTGAGGACCCCATGGTGAAAGGTCTAGTGAAATTATGTAGAATTTTTTCTTTTAACAATGTCAAGCTGATTAATCTATAATGCAAACTGTCAAGACAAGTAGTGGAATTTCCCTTCCCCTGAAAGTTTCAGATCAAGGTTTACTATTTTCTGTAACTTGTCCTTTAATTAGACATSAGATCCTGTCTCAATAACAGCACGTGTCTGCACTACGCAGGTCACACTGAGTTTACAGCCTGATCCTTCTAGGTAGTGCTGTGGAAAGTGAAAGAGGTGAGAGGCTCCAAAGGAAACATGGGTAGAATAGGTGACCTATAGAGAGATTTGTCCATATAGTCTTTCTCCTGTCACAGTTTTCTGAGTGTGAAGAGCAACCAGAGAGAGCTTCCTCTGTCCACACTCTGTCCTTTTGTGTGCAGGGGGGTGAGTGGAGTTAAGACACCAGGCTTCTGTTCTATAGTTGATGGCACATAGCTGGGACACGTGCAGGCTAAGCTGCTTATGCCTGGCCATTGCTTACGTGCAGGGGATATGTGAGCAGTGAGGCTGGGGAAGGGAAGACGTGGGTCTGGCTGGACGTGGATGTGTCCGAACTGCAGTGCAATGCAGTAGGTGATGATCCAGGCTAATGGACACTGCTAAGTTCTACCAGCGAACAGGGAGTTTTTAGTACCTGAAACGGTTCATTATGCGTTAGTGGAGGTACTTCTACTTCCATGTGCAATGCACAGAGTAGAGGAAAATTTTTTAGTTTCTTTAAGGCACCCACTCTGTGTTTGGAGCAGGCTATGTGCATTCCCAAGGTGCAAAACTGAGAAGGAATGGATAACCAGTTACTAGAGTTTTAGATTTTATAGCAGCTTTATTTTGTTTAAATAATTAAGGAATATTAATGATTATCATTGGAACAGTAACAGTGTCTCCTGAGGTCACTCACAAAATGCAAAGAGCTTTTTAGATCTGCCTGCAAGCAGCTCTTTTTAAGGTCTATGCTTTGACTCACAGCTCTAGGGAAAGTGAGAAGTTGAGAGAAGCTTAGGCGGGTCATATCTATTCCTACATGCTGGTTCATAACAAAAYGGGCTTTCACTGAAATCCTTAGGATACCTGCAAGGCGCGGACAGGGCCTCAGTGAAATCTCCATCTCCATTTTCCTCTGTTAGGAAGGTCATGGGCAGCAGTTGTCTATAATTTGGAGGAACAGTTGCTGATGTTGACTCYGGGCAAAGCATTCCCACCTGAAAAATAGGAGAGTGGTTGCTACTGAACTCACTGTATCTCTCTTTCTCTCTTCTAGGCCTGATAGTCTACCTAGGAATGATGGTGGGGGCTGTCGTATTGGGTGGCCTAGCTGATAAACTGGGAAGGAAGAAATGCCTCATCATATCACTTGCAATCAATGCTGCCTTCGCTTTCCTTTCCTCCTTCGTCCAGGGATACGGATTCTTTCTCTTTTGCCGCCTTATCTCTGGCCTCGGGTGGGTAACTCTACGGCTAGTCTATTAKCCAGGCCTTTACCCATGTCACTGCTCAGTTGGGTCTGTGCAAATATTGGCTTTGTGGGGTGTGGAAAGGAAGGATTGGCTGGACTGCTCTGGAGATCTTGGCCACGGAGCTGGGACAGTCCAGCTCTTTGTCTAGCATGGTGGAGGTGCCTTGGGCAAGCCAACAAAAGCATTGCCAATAAAAAGGTTGGGTCATTAATGTTTTTCTTTCACTGCCCAAATTGTAGGTGAAGACTAGAGAGACTGATAAATGTCTATTTCATTTTTCAGTCCGGCCTCCAGTGAGACCTTATTCCCATTGCTTAGCTGTTTTTGGCCTCTCTAAAATGAGAATTTGCCAAAGAACAATAGTGGAGATATCTACGTGAAGAAAAGGGCATTATGCTACCTTTGTTTAAACTATGTAATAAAACTAACTTTCAGAGCGTAGCATGRATCTTGTTTATCTCTGATATCTGAGTCCAACCAAAGAGAGCTTTGGACTTTTCCTCCATGTGTGAAGTGAATCTGTGTGACTTTCCCTTTTAATATGAGCAATCATAACTCATTCATACAAAGACATGAAAAAATACTCTTATTCTCATATGTTTTTTTTTCTTCTCAGTATTGGGGGATCTCTCCCCATYGTGTTTGCCTATTTCTCTGAATTCCTGTCTCGGGAGAAGAGAGGAGAACACCTGAGCTGGCTGTGCATGTTCTGGATGATTGGTGGCATTTTTGCTTCAGCGATGGCCTGGAGCATCATTCCACATTATGGTAATTGCTTTTTATTTTCAGCTTTTGGCAGCAGTGCATTCCTGYGTCACCACGTTACCTCAAGCCCACACACGTAACATTAGTCCGAGCATAAAACACACTGAAAATAATGGGTATCTTAAATGCACAGGGCTTGAGGCCTGGTTAGATATACATWAGATATACACAATAGTATTGTAATTCATCACTTTAACTTCTTCAAGAATTAAAGCAAGCATACACCAAACTTCTTTTTTCTTTTTTTTACCAGAACAATTACACAGTAGAATTTATAACAACTTGAAGATGGAAAATATTAGTCGTATTAGTGCTAAGAATGTTAGTAGTGAGGGCAACACATATTCTTTTCCTTAGACAGATGACAATATTCTTGTGGTTGTGTTTTTGGAGACGCATCTTTTGGGCATGTAATGTGCTGGGGAGCACATCTGATTAAACCTAATSTGGCTCAGAAATGGGATGGATTCCCCGTGCAGCACTGGAAGTGGCAGAGAAACAGTAGACAGGAGGACTCTGAAATACGTGAGTGCCCTGAGGAGCAAAAAAATCTGCATGTCACGTGGTCTTCCTGGTAACTCATGTGCATATTCCTAGGAAAACATCAGACAGCAAATATCTACTGGGAAAGATTAATTCCCTTGGTATCCACTGACACCAGCTGTTTGCAGAATCCTGTCTGAGAAAAGTAGGACAGGCCACAAAGACCCTGAAGAAAAGCGTAGAAATCYGTCTATCTATGATCTCTGTTTTAATATGCTTAAAATCTATTCAGTATAAAGAAATGTTCATGGTTTTCATTAAAAAGACACAGATTATTGGAAGAAATATATAAATTTACAGCCTAGTGATGTCAGGTTGAAATAAACTTTCATTATCTGCAAAAGCATTTGTTTTAAAATGCCCTTAAAGTATAATATTTACATTACTGTTATGTATTTACATTATRCTTTTTATCTAGATGATTTTTGATATTGTGTAACTTGTATTTTTGTATTTTGTGTGCTTGAGCTTTTCTTTTGGATGTCCCATGATTCCCTATTTTGGAAACTGGGGAGAAGAGAGTGAGCAATGCCATGACCAGGGCAAATACAACTTTCATAGAATTTAAAAGAAAAATTATTTTTTATTTTTGTGTTACGTCAATGAAAATATCTTTAGGAAAAAGATGAGAAAGTATTTCTTTCAAGATTTGAGTCTAAGTTAAAAAAAACAAACAAATAAAGCTTTTGCATGGGGTAGTTGTTTGTGGTTACCTTTCAGTGTGTTTTGAGGAAGGGTCTGCATTGGTGCGGGTCCCTAAAGGCGCAGCACAGGAAGGACACTGTCCTTGCTGCTCCATGGYAGGGGCTGTCTGACCTTGCAGGGTAGCAGGAGACAGGAGAGCCCTAATGCACGAGCAGGATCTTGATTTTTTTTTTCTGAGTTTATAGGTGTGGAAAAAATAATCTTACTTTTCAAGCCTACTTCTACAGGAAAGGAAATACCTGTTTAAGTGCCCATGAAACTTGCAGCAGCTGTGTCTAACATGCCTTTCAGGTCAGAGAAGATTTAACCCTTGCAAACTCTTTATAACATCAGTGGAAAGCAATAAATTAATGCCTTGGATCCTATCCCCTTCCCAATGTTGCTAGTCTGTAGCTGCAAGGAGCTATTACTATTTCTAGATGATTGCTAATCTTAAAGATAAAAGAAGTTTTCAAAAGACAGATCCTGGAAAAGAATGCATGCTGTTTTCTGTTATGAATATGAACTCGTGTGCTTTCTCTATTGAACATACTATTGAGCCTCTAAGAGGTCATTACTAAATATAGGAAACTTTCAGCCTGTCCTCATGTTGTGCAGAGCTGTACAGTCCAGTTCAGAGCTGCTTTAGAGAGAAAAATCCAGTGCCTAGTCAATATTTTTCTTTCTGGCTTTTGCTGTTTCCAGGCTGGGGTTTCAGTATGGGAACCAAGTACCACTTCCACAGCTGGAGAGTCTTTGTGCTTGTCTGCTCTCTGCCCTGCATCGCTTCTCTGGTSGCACTGAAATTCATGCCTGAAAGCCCACGTTTTTTGCTGGAGGTAAGATGGTTCACCTGAACATAGTAAAAGATGACTGGTCCTTTTTCTGTCCCCATCTGTGTCTCTTGGCCCCATCAAAAGCATGCAACACAAGTTCAGAACAAAAGCACTCCTTCCAGCCTACACACACACTGACCCTGCAGATAGCAAGTATTATTTAGCCTCCTTTCACAGCAATACCTAATTCAGGCTTACCCTACAGGTCCTTAGCAGAGATGGGAGTAGAGCTCAGGTCTGCTGAAACATCTCCTCTACCCTTGTCTGAACATAAATCTTCATCCCTGATCCCTCTCCTAGAGTAACTACTTTCTCCAGGCACAGAAATATTGCACTCCTCATGAATATTATCCATATTCTCAGCTCTTTGCCCTTATCTCCACTCTATTGGGCCTCTAGTAGTGGTTTGTTTGTATGCTTTAACAAATTGCAAAGCTGGGAACAGCAATGCTTATTCTCCCTTTCCTTGGTATTTCCAGATAGGAAAACACGATGAAGCCTGGATGATCCTAAAGCAAGTTCATGACACCAACATGAGAGCCAAGGGCGAGCCAGAGAGGGTATTTACGGTGAGTTATTAGCCAAGTCACTGGCAGGTAAAAGGAGAGCTGGATATACGTTCCCTGGTGCAGCACAGCACCAATATTATTCCTTTTTCTGGGGACTTGAGCATCCCACTCACAGTGTGACCTCCCTCAGAGATCAGAAAAAGGGCTTAGGGCTAACATTTAAAAGCATATACCAGCCTGGTTTTCCAAGAGTTGGTCAGTTGTGCTCCACTGTAGTGAATACACTTCATTCCTGGTGTTAAATTCTGGCGTGCAGGCCAGGGGATTTCCAATGACACATGCACCTGGTTAATCTGCTCCAGGAGACTAAAAACAAACAGGAGAGAGATCAGTCATGGGGAGATCTGAATCACTGCTTTCTCTATTCAGACTTCTAATCAAATTCTGATTAAACCTCATGTACCTCCTAATGAGCTTCCCAAACTCTACCTATCTGCCTCATACCCTAGCTTTAATCTCTCCAAGGGAAAGCGAGTGAGTGGTTATTACTCACCAGTCTGCTGCTTGTTGTGAAAAAGGTCACGCCAGGGGTCTAGGTTAGTAATAAAATCATGTAAAAGGTGTGTGCTGAGGTGAGTGGCAAATTACTATAATTCAGTTG